AACTATAAGTCCGGGAACTGAAAGCTTTGTTGAGACGTATACTTCGAAGTGTCCTCCACAAACTGCTGGAAAAAAACGGGTGGGGGGATCCCCCTCTTAACTCTGTATTTCTTGCAGGAAACCACCCAGCCAGATCCTTGAGAAAGGTCGAAATTGGTCGTGGCATCTCTTTTGATTCTTCTAGAAACGAGGTCTGTTTGAGTCTCTAGTAAGTGAAACTTGGCTGTAAAACTAAATTAAAATAAGAATATGAATGAATGTGTAAAAATTTTCATCACTTCAAAAGTCGTACGTTTCAGAAAACAGCTTTTCAGGATACTAGTTACAAAATCTATTACAAAACAAATTGACATTTCTAGAGAGTTGTCCAAATATGAAATTTATTTCGTGAGTAGGACCGCCTTATACACAATACATCTCTCACTTCCTTCTTATACTGTCACTTTCTCTACTACTAGTAGAGAAAGTGTGATGATGTGCCGTGACGGTACATCATCATCATACCAAAACGTCAGTTCCCTGCGGTGCTTGTAATGCAGTTTCATATCCTAATCTTCTGCCTTTTATGATCTACTCACCCGTTCGTCGTCATATCTTCCGATCTTCTGGCTTTCTGATTTTGATTTTTTGTAATTTTCAGCAGGGGATTTCACAACAAGGTAGTTGATATGCATTCTGTATTTTGTTTTGTTTTCTTAAAATGCAGGCTAACTTAAACAAATCGTCAGAAGGTCAGGAAGTCACTAAGTTATGTAACTCAGCACTTATCTCTTGACACTTGGGGCATAGTTCTAAATGTAAAATCATTCTCGAAATAAATTCCATACTTGGACATCTATGCATTTCCATAATCCACCGTGACATCCCATCTGATACTTAACTTAAGCAAATGTTTATATCGAACATGAAATTAGCTGTGCAGACACACACATTTGAATAGTAGAAGATTACATATTCTCGATATAACGACTCTTCCGCGAACTTTTTCTGCGGTTGAAATTCATTTCACACTCACTCTCACGCTGCTTACGGCCATCGCGTTTCAATTAGTGCAAGAGTCGTTTCGCTGAAAAGTCCATTCGCGAAATAGTCGTGTCAAGCATATTCTCACAATGTTTTAACATCCTAGAATATAACATCAGTTTCTACAGACACAATGACCGAACAAACATAACCATTGCGCCTAGCATATCTGAAAATCTATCTGTGTTATCATCTAACTTACTGATGTTTAGTTTGATTGCACTGGATCAACTTTTCTCTTATTGGGAAGTTGCACATTTAAATGAGTCCTCTTAGACAAAGGACTGGAAAGCGCGACTGACAACTGTAACTAGAAGAAGTGAGTTAACATTAAATAAACGAGCGGTAGATATAAATCCACACTTTATGAGACTTCTGTGTTGCTCACGCCTACATAAAATATTTGATTTTTCTAGTTATTCCAAATTTACTGTTGGCAAGTGGTTATTTTGGAGTACGTGAATCAACACGACATGCTGATGTAACGCGGAGTGTGTTTGATTCTGGTATACAAATTTTTGTTAATCTCTTGGAATTAGAAGAAATGAAACGTTTTGCACCTTATGAAATTGAAATGAAAAAATATGCGCAAGAAGGTTAGATCTTGTTCGTATTGTAAAAACATTCATGTTATTTTTGTTATTGTTGTCATGTAGCGAATCGTTCCGTAGAGTTTATTTCATTTCCAATCCCCGATCATTCGATTAATCCAGACAATCAAAAAGTGTTAGCATTTTGTCTGTCACTTTGTGATCGATTGAAAAAGGGTCAAGTCATTTTAATACATTGTTGGTAAGCTTAACACCTAGATACAGTTGTATAATATTAAGTACCCCCCTCACTAACGATGATTTTGTATCAAACAAATCAAGTTAGAGAGAAGCATATGGAAAGATAGCCGGGAGGGTCTACTTTCAAAATCTGTATCGCTTTCGAGCCTAGAACTCGTTTTTCGTGGTTTTCAAGCAAGTTTTTCAGAAGCCTTCAAATAATAAGTTTTTTCTAATCACTTGAGCAAGTAAACCTCTTTCGAGATGCGCAGATTTGTAGAGCAGACTTTTCTGATCAAAATAAGATGCTGCACAGCTCTGTGTGATCTTGTGTTAAAAAATTACAAGCATTTTCCTACATGTCCTAAACTAGACCGACCAATGCCCAGCGTTTTCTCTCAAAACACGTTTTTTGTTCGAACATGCCCAGTGTGGTTTCATTTTAAATCAGACACCTAACTGCATGGACTGATGGGATCAGATTTTTGATTTCTATCTTCGTTCATTTTCTAGAGATCCAAAATCCTGTAATACTCGAAAAATCCTTTCGGGTTTTCCAGAGATCCTTGATTTTCTAGAAATCTAAGGCCTAATTGAAAAATCGGCTCGCACATCAGCCCACGCAGTTAGGTGTCTGGTTTAAAATAAAACTAACCCGAAATCTCTAGCTTGAAGTATATTTAAAAAAAGTGTTCCACAGGATTTTTGATATTGGTCTCTGGAAAACCCCGGAACGGTAAGACATAGCAAGGCAAAAGGAGGAGATAGGGGCCCTTAACAACGCGTGGAGACAACTAGTGCGTGTTTGTGTTAGGGTTGGACGCGGAAGAACTGGAACAATTGTATCAATCATCATCGGAATTTTATTTGGATTGACAGGTATGAATAAATAAATATCATTAATAGTAGAGATATGAAGTACAACCTTGTTGTAGCCGCAGCAGCGATAGAACGTAATAATGAATTGTATTTCCAGCGTCCACGAAGAGGTTCAATGATTAGAGTACTACATCCATGTAATAAAAAATCTATGGCTCCTTTCCGACTCTGCTAAGATTTTTTTTTTCATCTATATAGGCCAACAAGCACAGGTTGAAGCTATATTAAATATGTACCATGGCCAAACAGAAGAAAAAATAAAACTCAATGCTGATCAAACAGCTCTGACAGAAAATTGTGAAGCATTATGATCTATGGCTATTTTTTTTACTGCTTACTTCATTCGTTCAAAACTTCGTTCTTTTATTCCTTTATCTGAATTACAGATGAAGATTTTGATTAATCGAAACGTTTAGTCAAGCACAAAAGATAGAAAAGGAAAAATTAGCCATCTAGTAACAAGAAGCGTTATGGTCTCTCTTACAATATGTTTTATTTCTATTGTAAAAAATAAACTCGTTAATGCTAGGTAGTTCACATCTTCAGGCAAAAGCTCATACAAATTAGTGATTCGTTTTTTAGGCAGTATGCCCCTATAAGTCTGATATAATTCAGTTTACTTTAATACATTGAACATACATAACTGCAATGTTTAGTACTTACTAAAAAATCTAATTAACAATCAACTTTATTGGTTTAATTCAAACCGTCAGTAATCGAAATTGTGAGAAACATATATTATAAACAACAAAAATCGTACAGTCCTCTCCCACGATAAAACTAAACTTATACAAAGATAAAAAATGTTAGTTTGAAGTTTTGCACAATTTGCGTTCGCTACGAACTCATTTTCTGTCATTTATGTTTCATGGAGGTATCTAAGCTATCCTCACACGACTTGTTGCTTGGTGACTCACTCTCATGGCCAAACCACACGCCAAGGTCTAATTTGAAGCTAAGTGATAGTACAAGTATTATATTTGAGTTCGCAGCGAATTTATATTGTACATAGTATGAGCCGAAGCATTAACTCATATTAACAATCGAACCAAAAAAACATCCACTGGCAACATTACTCACTAAAAATAGTTATTTTCCAGATAATGATGATTAATTCACAAATAATTAGAGCATAATACAATATACATCTAAAGTTTGTGCGAAAGATCATAAGATCGGACCAGTTCATTAATCACTAATTAATGAAATGAACAAAGATTCAAAAAGTCTTTAAACGAATCCCACAAGATTGATTTTTCTCTGTCATCGTCATGTTCTACTTCTACACCAAAAACAAAACATCGAAAGTTATTTAATTATGAAGATAGCAATGTGGATGATTCAAATGAATCAAAAACACTTGATCCTGTTGTTGAATTAGATGCTTATTTAAATGATCCAGTGAGAACACAATTTTCAGATTATTGGTTTCATTCACAATTAAATATTCTCAAGAAATTAGTTGTGCGGATTTTTTCAGTAAAGTAAATCAATCGAAAAACACACTGACCGATCTATGTTGAAGAAAGACAAATACAATCTGCTGTTCTCAACTCTTGGTTTTCAGTAATCGATTGTTTTGTCGAAGTTAAATGGATATGTTAAAATAACAAGTTATTGTGCTTTGTAAAAGAAATAATTGAAGAAATGCACAGTTCAATTCGCCGACGCGTTTCGTATCTTGTGAAAGATAGTACTCATCAGGGCTATGAATCTAGAAGAGAAACGTAATGATTATTGATAATTGTTGTTTATTTGCAATTTGGCAAAAACAAATAGTTGAAAGATCATTGATCAACATGTACTATTGACAAATTATCAAGGTAGTGCACTTTCAGTCCTATAGAATAAAAATAGAAAACTGAAGAACAAGTAAATAAAGAAAAAAAGTTCTTTCTGTTAGGATGGCTTATTTTATGATTTTTTGCTCAGTCAGATATGTAACTATTGTAATGATATTCAGCATAGTCTTATTCAACAGTTGTGACAGAAGGTTTTGGAAGCGCTGATGTTTGTTTAGGTTTCTTTGAATGTGCCATATTGGCTCTATTATCGATAGTCGACGATCGACACAACGGTCCTTCTTTTTCTGATTGACGTTTGTCATGACGTTAGAAGATGCACGAGACCAGGTAATCCGGGTCGTAATTTTACTTGGCATGCACAACAGTAAATAATTTGAACAATTGAGACGAGAATCACAAACATAAGAGCGACACCTCGCTAGCTATTCCATACTGGAGGTGCGTTTGAATCAGTGATTGGATACTACTGTTCATTTTAGAGATAAATGGCCGTGGCCGTTTTTTGAATAACTTCTGATCGGTTAAGGCTATCGAGCTTGGGGTTGCGTAGTTGGGGAGAGCGGAATCCGAGGCGTCTTTCTATATGATTCATTTGAGTCCATAGACACTTCTTTACGACTGTGCATACTTCGATATGTTGTTTTCGTCTGTTCCCAACGAATTTTTTCGACATTCTAACTCCGATTCAACCAAAATATGGCCGGAATTCCACTGGTAAAATTTCTTCAATTCAATTTTTTTCTTAAAAACCTCCAGTACTCAGTACATTTTTGCAGTACAAGTACATGCACTTTTTACTTAACAGAGGTACTTAGTACTTGTATTGCAGTACATTTTACTCGAGTACGCTGGTACTTCGTACCGGTACTAAGGACAAATGTACTTAACACGATCTTCTCTTTCTTGAACGAAATCTTTCCCAGCAGGATTTCGTTCTCCGGACCACTTATTGACAATTAAAAATAGAACAGCTGTAAATCTTGCTAAAACCAATCGTTCTCTTAGGGTATCTTCATCTTTTATGGCACGATTTGTTGCTTCTAGAGCATTATTTGTACTTGAAACTTCTAAGCCTTCATACCAACCGTTTTTTGATTCTAACCACTCACTTGAGAAATAATGAATAAATTGTTCTTGGTTTTTCCACCTTTTTAAGAATAGTTTTGTAGCAATTTCAAATGTTTTTTTATCTTTCGACAGTTGTAATGTATCAACGTCATCCATAATTTCAGTATGTAAATTTTTATCTTCTACTAAACATAACTGTTTTTCTACGCGTTTTCGCATATGAGCCCAGCATATAACAATACTACGATCTGTTCCAAATACTTTTGAAAATGCATTTCTGATAGCTTCAGAACCATCTGCAATTAGTACTAGATTTTGTTCATCCATTTGCAGGTTCGAATCACGTAGACCATCACGAATATATATAAATGTAAATTTAAAATCTTTCTCTTTTTCATTTGTACAAACAGCGAATCCGTATCGGTGAAACTGTTTGATCATATCTGTGGTCCCAATGATAAGACAAGGAAACCCTCGCAGATCAACTTTATGAAGCATCAACATGAATTTTATTTGAAATAGTTGCATTAAATAATAATCTTTTACTTGCAACAAAGAATTGAAATTTATTCCTATCATCATCACTATCGTCAATCTCATTTTCATCATCGTCATCAGTTTCATCTTCACATTCAACATGATATTTTAGTACCCAAGGTTTATCATCATCAGGTATAACTGAATTTTGTTGACATCACGCTTCCAATTGGGCTAAACTTATACTTGATGTATCAACTTGTAGCAACTTTTCTCTGGACGATGTCAAATAATTCGATAATTGCTGTTTTTTAGGAACAGGAAAACCTTTTTCATCTAATATTTCCAGTGTATGTTTCGGCTTGACCTTCATTTTGAACAATTCGTCAATTACAAAAATATGAATACCAGCTGGACACTGTTTTCCACGTCGTTTAACTTAATTACATCTATAATAAACCCGTTTGCCTTCACTGGTTGTATTTGTATGAGTTTTACTCTATATACCATCATTTTTTATTTTATTAATAGCAACATCTTTATTGTTGTATGTGCATATTGGGACCCATTTTCGTCTGTTTTGTTTTGTTTTTCACTTCTTCACTATTATTAGAAGCTCCCAGTTCCATATTATCACTTTCATCATCAGAAATATATTGCGCTACGTGGTGTGATTGAGCCATTTGTATAAATTATATATTTGTTCACAGCGGATCGGTGAAACTGATCGAACATAAACTTATCTTTCATTTTTCAAACAACCACAATATATATAGTGAACGAGTGAAAAAAAGTAAAGAAAAAGATGATACATACATGTATATCGTACATATCATCTGTACGGTAGAAGAGAAGAAAGAAAGAAAAAAAAGATATAAGTTAGTCATACTCTGACGATATTTTATTTAATAAAATTGAAACAATACGTGTTTGCATAACTGAATCGATATTGCCCTTTTTATATAAAATTTATCCTCAGTCTAAATAAATTATTGCCCATTCAGTAAAATAATTGTTCAGTCAATATATTTATTGCCCATTCAGTAAAATTATTGCTCAGTCGGTGTTATTATTGCTAAAATTGATTATTGCTCATTCAGGTTATTTTATTGCTCATTTAAATAAAAGTCTACTTTTAATACTATTTCAGGCATCAAATTATTTGAATTATATTCTTCTAATTTGATTAATTTTATCTCAATGTATTGAAACGATTAATGTCGACACTAAATTATAATCAAGTATCATTACAACCAATATCACCACTATCAGTACAAAGGTATAGAAATAATCAACATCGTCATGGTGATGTCTATGGGGGCAATCAATATAATTATTAATATAGGAATTATAATTCTAATAGAAATAATAATTATAATTTTCATCGTCGAAATAATATTTTTAATAATCGAAATTTTCAACAACGTTATAATTGGAATAATGATTCTGGGATTATTAATAGATCACCACATTCAACGCAATGAATATTCAATAGCAATCGAAGAACGAAGCATTCTAGATCACGACAACGAGTTATTTCAGCTGAGCAACGTAGAAGTGGACCAAAGCAATTAACTCTTTACACCCGAAGACACTTTTATTATAGCTGCAGCTGAAATAACTACTGCGTTGAAGCTTACAGTTCTTGGTATATCTGGATTTAAGTGATGTTGCTTTGCTGCGTGGATACATGATGTCCCTTGGAAGGGACATACGGGTGTAACGGCATGAATTTTGTATTTTTTTCATTGTTATTCCGAACTTCCTTTTTTGCCCTAGTATACTAGTATGAGTTTCAATTCTTTACTCCCTGGAAAACTTTTCGATAAAAACAAATGTTCAGACGTATTTTTCTTTTTTTTTTCCAAAAACATCGTGTCCGAACGCGTTTTTCAAATCAAGATGGTCCTAACGGCGCTTCTAAACGAGATTTTTTATCTCAATGAGAGAAAAGTATGTTCAGACGCATCTTGCTTTTTAAAAAGCTGAAGGTAGTTTAGACGCGTCTCAATTTTATTCAGTATTTTAAACGCACTTAGATGGATTTTTTATATCGATCAGAGAAAAATGCATTCACATTTGACGGCGACGGCACAATAGTACTGGTTACATCTTTTTTCTTCATTCACTCATCTTCAGATGTGTAGCGAGTGATCACAGAATGATCCACGCTAACAAGATGTCAAGATAAAAAAATTCACTTTTCATGTCGTTACATCCGAATGTCCCTTCCAAGGGACAGTGAATTCATAGCGCCTTTACGCAAAGAAGAATGCTACAAATTTCTTCTTTGATTTCATTATAAAGTACATCCATACAACCAAAAAACTACAAAATTAGAAAATGGTTTAGTGGCTACAAGTATAGAAAATATTTAAAAACAAAAATTCATTCCTGAACTTCATTCAATTTTAAAATTCAAAATATCAGATTAAGACGGAAATTTTTCTTTCTTCTTTCAATCAAACGTTAGGCTACTGTATTGTCTTACATTAGTAATAATTTAGTTTTTTAGCTGATGATCGGATCATCAGCCAAAAAGCTAAATTATTACTAATGTGCCAAATTGACACAGCGTGTCAATTTGACAAACAAGTAAATATTCCGCTGTGTCAAATTGACACGTCATATACAATAAAGTAGATGAAGGCTTTGCATTGCATCATACATCATATTCTCTGTAACATTATAATATAATCGATTGCATAAAATACATTGTTGAATAAAAAA